CATCACCCCCACACCACCACCACCACCACCACCACCACTGGTCTGACTACTAACGGTAGATAAAAGACCTCTCTCTAGTGGTGATTCAGCCAAAGGGCAGACACTTGATCCCGAAGGCCCATGGAGATTTCATTCATTTATTCAATGACTGTTGAGCACCTACTGTGTGCCAGCATTTGTTCTGCGTGCTGGGGATACTGCGCTGGACAAGACAGGAAAAGTCCCAGCCTCACAGAGACAAACACAAGCAAGTAAACAAATAAGAGAACTACCAGATATGAAAAGTACAGTGAATGAAATCAACGGAGGTTTGCGGGAGAGTGGCCAGAGACAGCTTCAGATCTAGAATTCAGGGAGAGCCTCTCTGATGAGGGGAAACTTGACCAAGACCTAAAGGGTGGGATGGACCCAGCACTTGAAGATCCTGGAGAGAAGTGTTTTAAACAAAAAAAACAAAAAAAATAGCAAGTGCAAAGGCCCTGGGACAAGAAAGAGCAAGACATGTGACACAAAGAGACCAGTATGCCTGGAGCAGAGTGATGGTGGCAACGTGAGGGACAATGATGATGGATAGGATGACGAGGGCCAGATCATGACAAGCCTGCTTTGGGGTCCATGGCAAGGATTTGGGATGTCTTCCCCAAACAGTAGGAAACCACAGCAGGGCTTTAAACAGGAGAGTGAACCTAATTTGGGTAACACTTGAAGAAGGTCGCTGTTTATTTCCTTCAGTTAAGCAGGAAGAGCTGGTGATGACAGGGATTGGGGTGGTGGCTGAGAAGATGGAGAGAAGAAGGCAGAGCACAAAATATTTTCAACACAGAGAAATCAGCGGAACTCGCTGATGGGCTGGATGTGAGAAGTCAAAGGAGGGGAGGAATCAAAGTTGGCTGCCTGTTTCCTGGCTCGAGGAGGAGGTGGCGTCATGCTCCAAGCAGAGCGTGTGGATAAAGGACAGGCTTGGTGGGTGGAGGGAGCACTTACATCAACAGTTCCCTTTTGGGTGTCTTAAGTGGCTGATGCCTGAGGCATCCAAGTGAAGATGTCAAGATAGTGGTTGGAAAAACGAGCTGAGTTCTGAGGACATGGGTCCCTTTACCTGGGCCTGTGTGCTGCCCATGTGCCCTAACTTAGGGCGCCCCTCTGTGCAGCCCACACTCCCCCCTTCTCTTCCTCCTCTGCTTCTCCTCAGTCTCATACTTGTGGCATGTCTAGGTGTGATCAGGACGTGGGGACGAAGGGAAAGGACTCCTAGTTTCTTTCTTCTGTTCAGCTCTTGATGCCTTGCAGCAAGCTCCCGGTTCTCCCCAACTTTAGACTCAAACCCTGGGGGTGAGCTGGGAGCCCCCAGTGACCCTCTGTCTCTCTGCAGGTAAATGTGCCCTTGGTCCTGGTGTCGGCTGCCTCTGTGGGCTGAGGGCCTGCGAATGTGACAAGCGATCTGCCTATTGCTTCAAAGCGAGCCTGCCCACCTACGAGAAAAACTTCAAGCAGTTCTTCTCGAGCCGGCCCCGGTGTGGCAGGCGTAAACTCCAGTGCTAGCGAGGCCATGGGGTCCCCTTGTCGGTCAGCGGTCAGCATCGGCTCTAGTATCACTTCCGGGAAGCCTTCTCCCCTCAGCACAACAGCTCACTCTCCAACCTGAGGTACTCCTTTGTCACTCGGCATCAGAGGGCTGGAACTCATCATAGAAAGGACAAAATCCTGGCATTCTATGGAGGGAGACAGACCCTGAGTATATACATAAATAAATGCTGCATTCCCATAGTAGTAAATGCTGGGAAGTGATAAAACCAGTGTAGAGAGATGGCCCCATCCTCCATCCCAGCAAGTTTCCAGGAGGAGAAAAGCCCCAGGATCGATACCAAACTCTCCCTCCACCCCCACCCCAAATCAGGGTGCAGGCAGACTTGGGGACCTGGCCCACAATCCAGATCCAGCTGGGAGCAAAGCAGAAATCCTGGAGAATGAGGTCTTGGCACACACACCAAGGACCCGAGAGTCACACTTGCAGTTTCTTTCTCATGAGCTCAATTTCTGCCTTCTGAAAACCCTCAGGTGGGAGCAAATTGATGCCATTTTCACCTCTCAGGAGACAGAGCTTGAGAACTTCAGCATCCACTGCTGCCATGTGGATGTCCTGGCCGGGAAGATGCCAAAGAGATGGAGAAAGAGGGATGGGGGGAGAGGGGCGGGGGGAGGTGGGAATCAGATGTATCCAAACTTTCCATCCAAATTTAGCTTCTGGTTACATCAAATGTAAACTCTAATAAATATTAAAGTGATCTAATCTCGGTGGACTCTGATTCTTATAATGTCCAACCGGTAGGGTAGATTGCAAACACGGCCACAGTTGTTCTTACCTCCCTGTATCCTCACCTCTCACAATGTTACCCCCAGCTTTCCCCAGCAAGAGGGAGAGCCTGTTGTACTCACACCTTGAATCTGAATTCTGAACCGGCCTTGTGACTTGCATTGGTCAAGAGAAAATCATGGAAGTGATGGTCTACCGGTTCTTCAGCCTAGGTGTCAGGAGGCCAGGTGCATTCTCTGAACACCTGCCTCCACCGGGAGACAGCCCACGCCAGCCCGCGGGAGGATGGGAGCCCACCTGGGGCAGAGTTGGTCAGCCCATTTGTCTCAGTGGAGACTTCAGACATGTGAGCGTTCAGGGAAGATTGGCAAAGCCAATCTGACCACAGACACAAGACAGAACCCGGCCGAGACCAAAACAACTGCTCAGCTGAGCCCAGGCTAAATTGCCAGCTCGCAGAATTGTGAGATTAATAAAGGCTGCTGTTTTGAGTCATTCCACTTAGGTGTGGTTTGTTACACAGCATAATTCGCTGAATAACTGGTCTTCATTCACTGAGACTCCTGGGTTCCCAGCACTGTGCTGCACTTGAGGCCATAGAAACATTGTGGGCATGGCCCCTGCACCTTACCTTGTAAGTTTGGGAGGAGAGAGGCCATGCTCATGTAATAATGCAGAATACACGGAGGGATTTGATCACTCAGTCACCCAACAAACATTTATTGAGCCCCCGCTCTGCGTCAGGCACAGTGCTGGGGATTCAGAGACTTAAAGAAAACAAGCAAACAAAATTGGGCTTAAATATTTTGGGGAGAAGAACGTTAAGAGCCATAGCAGCTTTTAGAAGTTCAAGTTAAGACCCTTAAAACCTGGACTGAGTGATGCTGTCACTGGCGTGAAGACAGAAAGGGGAGCCGGAGGTGGGTGGTCAGCACACTGTCTGGGGCCAGGCCTCCTGGGCTCTGCCTGGCTCAGCTTGTATGGTCGGGTGGTAAATTGGTCTGTTCTTCCTACTTGCCCCGCCCACGCACATGGGCTTTAGTAATTGCAACTGCAGAAAGGAAGCTTGAGGTTTGTGGGTCTCAGCGAGGGTCTGAAAGGCCTGTAAGGGACGTGGTTGCAGAAAGGCAGGTGTGGAACCAGGTGTGGCCTCGGCTCCCGATCTGGAAAATAGAGGAAAGGGGCCCGTAATGGTATCCACGGCCTGCTCCGTGTTGCTGCCCTGATTCTGAGAGGAGCGAGGTGGGACTGCGGAGGACGTCACTGACTGTCACTGGGAAAGCCTGCTTTCCTGCAGGAGTGGCCATCATCCCCTCAGTACATGCTGAGGCGGTGCTCCACACCAGGCCCTGGGCTCAGGGCAGAGAACTAAGGATGCCTCAGACTTAGGACAATTGCTCTCAGACCAGGGATGACACAAGTCAACAGGCGATTACAAAGCAGGCTGGGAAATGCTGGAATTGGGGTCGGCTTGGGAAGTAAGGACCACCCTCCAGGAGGGTCAGGCAAGGCTTCCCAGAGGGGTGGTGGGGGTCTGACATCTGTCTGAGAGCTGAAAGATGAGGAGTTGGGACGGCCAAGGGGTGTGCAGAGCCTCTGCCTCCGCCCATCTCAGCTGCGGGCCCCTCCTTCATCTTTGCCCCCTCCCAGGCCAAAAACCTACGTGTCCAATTCTTTTTCTCACATCCCACATCCAATCTGTTGGCACGATCTTCAAAATACATCTAGACTCTGTATTTATATAATACTTCAGTAAAATGTACGCGTTATTAAAAAATAAAACAAGAACGGAAAAATCTAGAACTTGACCGCCGCTCACCACCTTCACAGCTGCCGTCTTGGCCTGAGCCACCATCGCCTCATGCCTGGGTTATTGCAGCTGCCACTCGTCCTTGTCTCTGCCTCCACCCTTGGCCTCTGCAATCTCGTCCCACATAGCTGCCACTCAGCACAGTGTCTGATGTCTGACCACCTCCCTCCTCTACTCTCGCCCTCCAGTGGCTCCCTGTCTGCCTGCTTCTAATGCCCCGAGGCCTCCATGATCATCTCCTCCGCACCCTTGACCTTGCCTCCTGGACTCTCCCTGTCACTCCCTGCCCCTCAGGCCTCCGTGCTGCTCCTGGACCACACCTGAGGGCTCTGCCTGGCTGTCCCCTCTGCCTGGAAGACACTTCCCACATGGCTCACTCCCTCCTCCAAGTATTTGCTGGAATCTCCCTTCCTAATAGGGTTTACGCTGACCACTCTACTTAATACTGCCCATCCCCCCCCCCAAACCCGCCCCTGGCATTGCCCATCTCCTTTGTCCTGACCTTCTGGTTCTCTTCTGCTTATAATCATTGTTCATTGTCTGTCTACCCACTGGAATATATTGGGTTGTCAGAAAAGTCACAACGCATTTTTGCAACGAAAAACAGAAAAATATGTCATGACTTTTCTGACACCCCAATAGCAGGCTCATGAAGGCAAGGATGTTTGTCCTTTTTTTTTTTTCTTTAATCACTGATGTATATGTTGAATGACATGAACCCAAGAGAGAATGTGGAGTGTGAAGGAATTGCAAGCTACTCAGTGGGGAGCATGGGCTGCGGGGGTGGTTCTTGGAGCGAGTGAAAGAGATGAAGTGGGTGGAGCTGGGTCAAGGACTGTGGTCACTCTGCCATGTCTGGGAGCAGCGGGGGTCCAATGTTCTGAGCAACCCACCACTTTCCACCTGTGAGAACTTGGGCGGCTCCACCTCCTTTAACCCAGTGTTCTCAAGGGCAAAACAGCTGACTGAGACCACAGCACATGCTCATTAACGTAGGGAGGATGCGCATGGCCACCGTAGGGACTCAGTAATGGTCAGCCCCTTTGCCAGTTGGCACTGTTGCTAAAGCAAGCTCCCTGCCTCGAAGGGGACAGACTTGGAATGTAGATGTATTTTTACAAGTGCTCTCTGTCAATGTTGATCAGCTGTGTTTCTGCATGTCTGGTTGAAGCTATCAGACAGTCAGGGAGGTGGAGCGGTGGACACGCCCTCCACCAAGGGTGTGCCGTGGATTCCGAGCCCCACTGGGGAGAGGCTGTCAGTGTTTTAGGATGACAGCGCTTGAGTGTGCATGTGTGCTGTGGCAGGTGGAGTTGCTGTCCCCCGTTCGCACTTCTGGGGAGTCTATAAAACTGGATCAGCAGATGTGGGAATGTGGCATTGGGCAACGTGGGCGTGGCTGTGGCCGTAGAGGGGGTGGTGGACTGGGGTGTGGCGGGGCCTGAGGGGATGGGGTTTCTGGGTCAGTGAGTGCAGGGCCTGGGGGCTTCTGGGATGGGCAGGGCATAACTCAGCTCACCAGGCAGAGGGAGCACATCCAGAAGGGAGAATGAAGAGATCTGGGAGGGGTGTGTCCCAGGCCCCAGAACCCTGAGTGTCTCCCAAACCTTGCTTGCTGGAGAGAGCAGCCTCCAGGCACCCAGTATTCCCCTTATGCAGGCCCAGGGCTACCTTCATACACAGAAGACCTGAACCGTCTTCAGACAGATGCTGTTAAAAATCTCTAATTTACTGAGGCTCAAGGCCACACAGGTCGCATGTGACAGAGCAGGGGACTTCAGCCCAGCACTGACTCCTCCTACCCTAAGGTTCCCCTTCGCAGTCGCGTCCCAGGAGGAAGCCAGTACTGGAGGGACCTGGAGGAGGCAGTAACTGGGGAGGCCACTCCAAGGGTTTACATACGTGCCCCACAGGGAGGCCTAGGTTCTGGTTCTGGCTAAGCCACTAAATTGTTGTGTGGTTTCTTTCATTCATTCATTCATCTATTGCACAAATATCCAGTGTTCTGCAACTTGGCTCGGCGCTTCTGTTGCATGATCTTGAGCTTCTCTGGGCCTGTTTCCTCCTGCTCAGGAGGAAACTTTTATAAACAAAGCTATTCATAGCCCCACCTCCTTGGGTTGCTAAGGGGGTTAAATGAGATGGCACACAAAACTCTGAGCACAGTGCTCAGCACACAGTAGGTCCTTAATAAGCCCCGCTCTGCTTCCTGAGCCCTGAGATCCTGAGACCCTGGGCCGCCTGCCCAGGCAGAGCGTGGGCGTTCCAGCAGGCTTGTTGGGGCAGGGCCATGTGCCGGTGCTTTTGTACGGTACATCCGTGCCTCCTGATACCCAACTTAGCCCGCTGTCACAGTGGATGGTGTCAGTTGCTTGTTAGAAAGCCATAACTGGGGAAGCTGACAGCCAGCGTTGCTGTGCCAACCTCCGGGGAGCAAAGGGCCGCCTGTCTGCATTCATAACCAGCCCTGAGCCTGAGACCAGGGCTGGGCAGGCACCAGGTGCCCGGCTGCCGTTTGGGGCAGTAAGTGCCCACAGAGCTTTCCTCTTCTTCCTCTCTCCTGCTCCCCCTCATATCTGGCAGGGAGCCAGGTTTCCTTGCTCAACCACAGCTTCGCTTCTGACAGGTTCCCATTTGGGGGAGAATGTCCCCGTGAATGTTCCATCAGCTCCTCCTTCCTTCCGCCTAGGGCTGTTGGCCAGCCTGGCCCTGAAGACCAGCCGAAGGCCCCAGCTACCAGTGCTGACGTTTCCGTTCTCCATGCCAGGCCCTGCGCTAGGCGCCCTCTTTCCTGTGGCCTCATTTCATCCTCAAATCCCCACTCTGCTCTTCCATTATTATCCACATGTTGCAGAAGGGAGACACCGAGACTCAAGGAGGTCGAGCGACGTGCCCAAGGCCACGTGGCCTGTGGTGGCAGCGCCAGGGTTGCACCCAGCCTGCTCTTTGTGAGAGGCGGTGGTGGCGGCAATGATAGATGGTGGAGATTAGAAATGCTCATCCGTTCCTTGTGCTTTCCTGGGCCCAGTCAGCCTGGGGAAGGGTCTCTCAC